GAATACTCGGCGGACGAAGACGACTCGGCCAATCGCCGCCCGGTGACTCGCGATCCTCATCGAGCGTTGGCGGACAAAATCCGTCGTCATCGTCTTTCTGCCGAGCATATTTCCGAGATCCCCTACCGCTGTGCAGAAACCATCGAGAGCCTGGAGCATTTTTTGCACCACCTGCGTCACGTTGAGAATCATCGTACTTCGTCGGAGCAGCTTTTGGCCGTCGAGCAGGCGAATACGTCACTTTGGGCGATATTGGAAACGAAACGAAATTGATTGCTGCACTTCATACGCAGAACCAGTTGCTCATTCAACTTATGTGTGGCCGAGCACCGTTGGGTGCCACCCCTGCGCCAACGCTTTCGCGTTCATTTGCGCTAGTCCCGATACAGCATATGCAAGCCCACGCTAACCACCGGGTGGATGCGATTCCTTCTCGTAAGGTTTAGCGTATACGCTATCTCGCTTGGCCACGACCATAAACATTTCAATAAACCATGGAGGAAGCTTTGTCTCGAAGACGATAGAGACTGCATGTGTAGGAGGGTTTTTGGTGTTTAATGAACCAGGTCTCTGACCTCAAAGTTTTCACATTTCTTCTGCTTCTTCCATCTCCATGTCTTGGCTTTCAGCCATCGCATCGCAAACGTGTCATAAGACACTAAGCCGGGAAAACAGGAAGTCTCCGACTTCTTTACGCACGGTGAGGAGGCTGACATCAGCTAACCGTTCGGCTTTGCCTCCCCCACCAAGCCCTGAGCCATGGGATGGCGGCGTCAGCGGAATAATAAGCCCGTTCACGTAGAACGCCGTATAGCCGATAGATGAATGCACTGCATTATTAAGAGCAAAGTCTACGAGTGGCAACATAACGCTCCAGCGCTTCGGCGTCTCAGCGCAGACGCTACGAAGAACGTCTTCAACGGTGCGAGTCACGTGGTCTAGGGATGGTCTGCTGTTGACATCAACTTGGTGCCTAGCTCCCTTAGAATTGTATACCAAAACTTCCCAGTGAAGCGCAGTCCTCTACCAGATACGATTGATTCCGGCGGTCCATGTTGTTGAGAGACACGATCGACAAACAGCGTCGCCGTACCCACATCGTCGATGGTGTCCTGCACTACCGCAAGATGAGCCATCTTGCCCAAGCAATCCACAAAGACCACCACACCCGTGTTGCCCACCGAGTCAGTCAGCAGGCCAAACGAAACGTGCATACTCGTGGACTACTGCCAACACCCGGAGATCACCGGTAAACTGGCCAGCGGCGCCGCGCCATTCGGAGAGGGTTTCACGTCTCACACGTGCGCACATCTGCAGAGTGCCCGCCCTGCGAATAGTGTAGCTCCAGGGGTACATGGCAAGTAAGATCATTCACCTGTGAATCGAGTTGCCAGGTAGTCCAAGGGGGTAAAATGCCTCTTTCACTACTACAAATGCCGGATAAAGCTAAGAAAATCCCCACAATTATAATATGCCATAGTTTGGACGACGATAAAGTCATAGATATGGTACGATTGTACGAGAGGAAGAGCTGAGCTCTTTATCCGTCGGAGGTGAATTTGTCATTGCTGACACTCACACAGCCTTGACTGCGAGAAATGAGAAAGCTATGCTTGAAGATTCTACGGACTTCTATTATCATTTGTAGAAGGATAATCTTGATGCAACGACAAGTGTCCCATCACGTGGGGTGTATTCGAAGCGTGGAGTTTGTAATGGAATTGACTAAGTTCCCGGAGCCAGCTATTGTGCCACACGTCAATGAACCTACCAAAAGAGCAGTGTGGTATTTATGACGGATTTCCTGCGCAAATAGATCACGAAAAGAATTTGGTGAGAGAAAATAAATCTTCCAATCGCTTCCGATTTTACATCTTACTGTGTTAAAATAGACTATTGGTAAGTGGCGAATTAAACAAATCTATCATAAGCTAAATTAGATCACGATCATGGAACGCATAACGATTTCTTAAACAAACGTGCTGCAGAACACCATGACCGGCTGCACAAAGAAAAAAACAGCGACATTTCTCTCATGTTGAAAAAAGCTCCAAGCGGGATACTCTGGGAGTGTCTGGTCATACCACATGGACTACATAATGCTTCAGCAGTGTCCAAATATCTAGTGATGCAGCTGTTAAGGCCACACCATTGCTTGGCGCAAACCTGTCTTGACGTTGTGTTTGCCCATAGCTGCGCGGAACACGTGAAATCAGATGTGGAATAGTACATCAAATCTTTGCGGGCAGTACTCAAGTGTACGTGCTGTAAACTTATTCTCCTTCGTAGACAGTTTTTTCGGCGCCGACAAATTTTTTTGCCGAGTTACGTAATTGAAATTGAGTACGTGCGGGCAATTTCCGCAATGATATAGATTTTTGTAGATTGGTCGGTATCATGAGAAAATAAGGTTTGGCCTTGTCTGGCTAACTAATTCCACAAGTATAAGTTGTAGTATGCCAACATGGCACAATCGCTAAGGAATCAGTTTAATAAAGAAGTCAAATGGTACTGTGTGCAGCAGAAGAGGTAGTCTTCAATACATACTTCATCACAAGTAATTCCTTGTTTTGGACTGGGTAATTCTCTTAGCGGCCTTAAGCCGACGAGATTCGAACGCGATCACATGATCTCGCCCCTCGGCGTCTGCTTGCAGCAGTGCATATCCGATGGCAAAGTCCAAAGATTCGCAGACGACACCAGAAGGACGATCGGGCTCTGTCAACGCCAGTGTTGATGCACGAAGGAGGCTGTCTTTGACCTTGTCTAAAGCATCCCGATTCTCGGTGTCCCAACGCCATTTCGTATCTATCTTGAGGAGATTCGACAGTGGCCGTGCCATTTCCGCACAATTTGCACTATACTTATGCAAGCAATTTGCGCAAGTCGTTTTGGTTCCGACCAGTCCATAATGGCCTTGACCTTAGCGGGATCCTCTCGAAGGTTACGCATACCGACGAAGCAGCCTAAATACGGGATTTCTTCCGCGCCGAAGGTGCACTTATAGGCAATAGGATTCAGCCTATTTATGCGCATGCACTCAAGCACCGATCTCAAATGGACGATGTGGTTTTCCTCATCTGTCCTTCCGTGCTCCGCACGATTGTGGACGAAGATGTCGTTGAAGTTCGTCTTACGTCGTAAGTCGATTAGATGTTGCTGGTACATTTGATAGCCCCTGGGGCATCAGCAGTCACTCACAGACTATCCCGCTCGAAGTTCTCACTGCTGTCACTCGCTCCCCTGAGCAATTGGTAATAACCATCGACCAAGTCTATCGGAGTATATGTGGACTGTTTGAGCAAGATGGTGTATGTTGCTTAGTCAAGCTTTGTTTGTGAAAAGTGCACGTCAACACGATTGCAAACTGAATCCGCCTAATCAAACTCTCAGGGGTTAAATTCGTATGCTTCACTCAAGAGCGGAATCGAATGCATTTAAAGTCACTAAGTACTTTTGGAATTACTGGGATCATTATTTCATCTAGACGATATGAAGGTTCCTGAAAACATTTTTTGTACAGATTCGAAATGTGATTCTGCATGGTTTGGTCACGGAGATCCTATTTTAAGTAAAATCAATCTTACAAAAATCCTGCTTCAATTTTCCTGCACACCTTTTCATAGTCGACGGCTACTTATTCGGGCGTCACATGGGCAAGGGATCGAACGATAGGGCTAGTTACACAAGTAGGTTTTGGACAGAAATTGCAGACAAATTTTATGCAAGTTTGGGTTTTGTGTATACACAAATGTTATTTTCGACGGATGCAATTTGTCGGACAGATTTAAGAACTGTGTAAGCATAACTTGGATTTGCGTGTACGTAATTTAAGGACAATTCGCACAGTACATGTTTTCAGAAACCTTTCAATACAAGTATTACGTTTTCCCATATAACTAATTGGGCTTTAGTTTTTTACTTGCAACTAGCATTTCACATGCTTCATGAACCTCTTTTTAACAGATTTCATTTTCATCAAATGCTGATACTTTGGTGATTGCTTGTAATTACACAAAGAGTGAATGTATATCTGGACAGTTACCCAAATTATATTTTGCGAAGGTGTGAGGAATAGAACACAACCCAAGCTCTTGTACAGTACCTATCAAGAGCTTGGGGTTACAGTTACTGTACGACTCTATACAGTGCATTATTGACAGTTTCTGTACTGTACAGAGTACAGAAACTGTCAATAATGTACTAGTCTACAGACTAGTACAGTACAGTAGCTGTCAATAATAGTTCACACCCATTAAAATAATAAGTACCGTGTGCTTTTTTGTTTACTAAGTCGTAGTAACCAAGGCTAATTAATCTTCGGTTGATAATCAAAACTGATTTTTATTTTTTTTATCTGCGGGCTATAACGTGCAGGTGTATTGCACTCATGGCACTAGGCGCGACAAACTCTACCCTATAAATTAGAATTACGTGTCGGCATTGTTTCCGCCACTGATACAATTCCGATATCGAGGAAGGCAAAGCTTGATCATCCATATTATATTTGATATTTGCAGATCATTCTAGAAAAAAACGTTTCTGCTTTCGCACCACGACATATGTTCAAGATAACGATTAGCTGCTTCTTAAGAAAGCACAAAGAATAACGCTTTGACGTTATGTCAGAAAATTTTATTGTCGATTGTTTTCCATATTGGTAAAAAGTGTACATAGAAAAGTATGACGCAGAGTGAAGTTTCATTGTTCTTTATCTTGAGAGTCAAAGGTTTTCTTTAAAAATAATAATTCACACTATCTGACTTTATCCCTTTGATTTGCCTATATTACTTGAAATACACATGATAAATTTGACTTTGCAACGATGAGCGATCGACCCTACATGGTACCGTGCTTCACGTTCGAGGAACGTCCATGCCTTATATCATCTTGGAGCAAAATATAGAATTTCGAATGATGTACCACCAAATGCACTAAAGTTCTGCAAGCGACAACTCATCTATTATATTTACCACTTCGCATCTGCTTCTTCATCAAGTATGCAGAAATTCAAGTTTCTCAATCTCTTAGCTGGCGTACTTGTCACTGGAATGGTTGATTCCTGTCCTTCTTTTGAAAATAATGTTGACTACAGCGGTAGTGACATTGGCAACGCCCAAAGCGATTCGGTTTATGGATGCTGCTCCATATGCGCCAAAAATAATGCTTGCGGTGCATTTTCTTGGACGAGCTACAACGGTGGTACATGCTGGCTGAAAAGCTCCAAGAAAAATTCGATTGTCAGTGTCGGATCCATTTCAGGGGATTTACAACGATCAACTACCCAGAATAGTGGTCGCTGGAGAATGTCTCCCGTTAAAGTCATCCAAGCTCGTGTCCAAGGTGATGCACCCATTTGGCAACCGGAAGTTGGTCAGTGGCTATCTAGTTTTGGTGTCACCACCAAGGACAAATATGAAAACAATCTAGACACCGTAAACATGGCGTCTGTTGAAGGAGCACTCATGTATGTACAAGCAGAGGGCATTAATGTTAACGAACAGTCGGTCAAGTGTCAGCGCAAGAATAACATGCAGTATGTGGTATTTTACGAGATAACGATCGTGCAGCCAAACAAAAGCATCAAGTACTACGAAAATCACAATCCTCCTGAGTATGGTGAGTTTCTCGCTATGGATGGTGCTAAGTGCACGAACGCTGGTACGGACATCCCCAAGAGCTGTAAGATCTTCTATGGTCTAGACGGCACAGACAATATCGGTCCAAACGTCGGTTGCGATGTGCAAGGTACTGATCCACGAGCTCCGTATCCTGGTAATTTCTGGTGTTCGTTTCCGAACTCGTGTGCTCACAAGTACCGTGCAGACAAGACGAATGAGTGCAGAGAGCGATATGGAGGTGGTCTATGTCCCATGGGAGTCCAACCGGATGGAATTTCTTGTATGTTCAGCTATAAAATTCTGGGGTATCTCAACATTGACGAACTGGTTGGGATCACCAGAATGGGCTACAGAAATTACAAGCAATTTTGCCAGGCTGGAGGTATCGAATTCAAAGCCAAAAACACTGGCAACGGATTTGAAGTGGAGCAATCCATCGAATTTTGGAAAAATCCTGGCAACCCTGAAGCCAATGCGAATCGGGCCTCGCAAATGGTGGCATTGTACAACAAAAATATCAATAACGGCCAAAGCCCGAACATGGCCCTTCTGCCGTCAATTGAGGCTCTGACTCAGACGAACCCTAAATGTTACCAAAACAGCAAAATGTGTGCTCGCGCTCAGTATGGCTGCAAACGATCGTCGTTGTTGCAGATTTGCTCAGTGTGTTTGGCCCCTGAATCTGGATGCGAGCCTGCACCTGCGGGATACTTGTTTTCGAACCTATAACGCAGTCATGAAGAGTTCCTACTTCTATAGATGAAAAATTACATTTAATTTTACAGATTTGCTGATGATATAGACAAAAGTCAACAACAGTATGAGAATAAATTCACTGCACCGCATTTTTTTCTATTTTGATGCAACACAAGATCAAACACGGCTACTGAACAACGAGGTATTTAGAGTATTTAAGAAGACTTAAAGCTCGGTTAAATATACCGATGACATCTCTAACTACACACTTACTGCAACTTTTCAGACGGTTAGAGGCAAATGTGTATGCTATGTCTCAACTTGTTCTATAGCTGAAAACATCTTAATCTTTTGATAAATGCAAAATTGTAATAGTTTGCTGCATACTACAATTGCTCGTCTCCGACCCCACAAATTCGTCTAAAATAGATTAGTACCAATGTTTAAGGCTGGCGTTTGTTTTTAATTTGACTTGAGATCGACCTAGAGCCAGCTGCGAGGATCAGATAATGTTGCAGTTCTCTCGTAGAAACGTATTTTACAAAAGTCTGATGGACACAGCTATATGTTAAATTTTGAGATTGAACAGATTATAAAAATTAAATGAATCGATCAAACATTATCGAGGTGGAGGAGCGTCATGAGTCAATTAAAGGATAATCAAAGTGACTTTAAAATAGACATGTCTCTAGACCCACTACACATCCAGTTGATTTGTCAGCCTCTTGGCGATGATGTGATGGTGCTACGAAAACTTGAGCTTAGTAATCTTACCCTAGTAGATAAAGTGGGTTAAACGAAAAAAAGACGAATTCTTTTATAAATGACCTGGATGAGGGATGCAATCACGATGTTCTAAAGCAAACCTTTCAACTTCACACGTTTATGTCATTATTCTTATATTCCAATGAGTGCTTATTAGATCGTGTCTCTCATGACCCCGTCGTGTCAGATTTATACGTTTCCTTCGATTGGAAGCAGTAAGTATTCAGTTGACCATTTCGAAACAATATGCAGAAGATGATGTTTGTCGGTTGTCGCCTGAAGACATCGTATGTGGGTTTTACCATATCTATCTGTCCTCAGTGCACCAGAGAGCATTTGGTCTCACTATCATTTTTATGAGAAAATGAGACAGCGTCAAACAAAAGAATGCTAATCAACCTAGGTACGAATCGCGATTTAA